GAAAAGCCCAGGCTCAGGCTCAGGCTTAAGCCGACCCCGACCTTCTCAGTCTACGGCGCAACCACTCCCCGCGACCGCCTTGCATGACAGTTCTGTTAAGGAGCTGCCCAGGAAAACAAAACAGAATGAAGCAATGAATCCACCCGAACCAGAAGGCAAAAGGTCCAGGTCCAGAGCAACCCCCAGCTCAGACCAGCTCAAACCCGAGTCGGGCGAAGCAGCGCGCCAATGTTGTCGAAAGTGACCAGAAAGCCTCCCCCCTTCGCTCAAAATGTTTGCCGTCCCAGAAATGGATCCCTCCGAGACCATTCCGCAAGCCGCCATGCTAGTAATGATTTCTCCTCTCATGCAAGCCATGCAGTCAGAAAGCAAAGAGAACTTTTGCAATGCCGAAATCGACGGGCCGCAACAATGGGTAAAGCCAAAGGCGCAAAGAAAAAAAAACCTGTCGGCCCGTCCTGAAATGAGGTCGTGAAAGGGATGCCGCCGTTTTGTTCGTGAGCCTACACGAGCGAGAGTTCTGTTCCACCTCTGCTCTCGTCTCAAAAGAAGAAGTAGGAAAATTCAAAATTCAATCTGCCGTGTAATTCGTGGTTCGTCATTAATTCGTTAGGGTATCCTCTTTCAATCCGAGGTTGTCTCCATCCTGGAGAAGTTCACGTGTGGCTCCATATCCTTGCTGCCAACACACAAGTCCTACTGGCGAGCTTCGATGTGCCCGCTCTTCTCCGTTGTCTGGCGGTACCGGATGAGATCCTGTCCATTGGGAGGTGTCGTCATACTGGTGGCGCGCTTGGGACGGGGGAAGAGACGAATGTCATCGTTGGCGTCACCGTCGGCACGGCTGCCCCATGAAGTCTGCAAGATTGTTAGCGATGTTGCTCGAAGATCTGGATACCTGGGAAAATTGGGTGTGCCTACCATCTTCAGTGTGAACAGCGCATACAGCTTGATGAGGCCGTGGAACCAGCCAAAGAGGATCGACGCCGGGAGGAATATGAGATCGCTAGGGTTTCGCTTGAAAAGGCCCATAAGCTTGACTACCTTGGTGAAGCCAAAGACGAAGGCAATCTGAGCCCAGAAAGCAATGCGTCGGTTCTCGGGATCCCAATCGGCGGTGCCCTTCCAGAGAGCCAGGATGATAAAGGGATCCATCACAAAGGCCAGAGAAGTAAAGGTGGCAATGTGCAGGGCGTAGGTGCACCACATTTGCTGACTGTAGGGCATCTTGTCAGCACATTGCACCTTGTGGGAAAGAAATGGGGGGTGGATGTATGACTCACGTCAGCACGTATCGCTCCGTAACCAGGCTCGTCCAATTACTTCGCCAGTTGCTGCGAGCCCAGCGGGAACACTGGTAGAGGAAGTTCATGCCGTTTTCGAGCGTCGTCTCGAGCTCGCACTCGCGCTCATACTGGATCCAGGTCTTCCACTGGTGACTGACAAGCCAGCGGGTGACGAAGTTGTCGTCATCGGCGTTCAGGATGTACGGCCCCCATTTCTCCGTCTTGAAGCCCTCGAGGAAGTCGTGGCTCGATAGAATCTCGGAACGGTAGGCGCCGGTGCGACCAGACATGCACGATGTACCGCCATCAATGTTGTGGGTGGCCGAAATCTCGAAATTGCGTCGCTCAATGTATGCTGCACCCAGCCAATTGAAGATGCGAGTCGACCACGGTCCCTCCCAAACACGCCTGACCCTCTGACAAGTGCCAACTCCTCCCATTTTCGGATCCTCGAAAGGCGCCAACAGCCATGGCATGATGGTTTCAGGCCAGGTCACGTCGTCATCGGCCATAATGGTGATTTTGGTTGCGACGTTCGGCAGAGCCTCACAGACCTGGAGGCGCTTGTTGGCGATGGGGGTGGACAGAACTTGGACGTTGGGATGCTGCAGAGTCTCTGCGAGCTTGGCGAGGGACTTGTGCTTGTCAATGGTGGTCACAAGAAGAAGGCCATATGGCTTGCAGGCAAGAATGCTCTCAAGAGAGGGACGAAGCTCCTCGAAGACATTGTGGATCGTCGGAATAATGACGGTCACATCCTCTGAAGTGAAGCTGGGCTTCGCGGGGACAGGCTTGGACTTGTACGACCAGTGGCTCACACAGTGGACGAGGAGGCGCACATAGCGGTGGAGCCTGTGCCAGGGTCAGTGGCTGAACGGGAGTCATGGCAGCGGCAGCGAATTGTAATGCCAATGCTGAAGAACGTACCAAAGAGCGATAAAGAGATATAACCACGAGGTCGGGGTCCAGAGCGACCCAAAATTGGGAAGGAAGAAGTTCAGCATCGTGAACGGTAGGGGTCTGCACGCGTGCAAGCTGGTGGTCGTATCCGCGCGCGGGAGGTGTCAAGGTCTGGCGGTAAACTCGGCGGCGTTATAAGCAGACGCGGTCGAGATTGAGGTGTTGATGGTGTTGGGGGGGAGGGAGAGAGTATTGGTGAAAAAGTTCGTGACTTGCAATGAACTTTATATATAGGTGGTGGGTGAAGATGGTGAATGGTAGTGTTGTGGGTGAAGTGTAGTACAGTTTGGTCGACTAAAATCACACCACTGAACAGTGAATGCAACGGTTGGTATTCACAATCTTTTTGGTGGAAAATTGAACAGCCTGGAGCCAATTCACTCTTCAGTGCAAGACTTGCAAGTCACAGCGACCGTACGCACGACCAAAGTTGTGCAAAACCGGGCAGGTATAGAGTAGACTTGGCTTGCCGAGGGCGAGACCTGGACCGAGAACAAACAGACCCTTCGAGTAGTCGACTGCTGCAGTTCCACCAAGAATCAATTGCGTCGTCTTCGCCTTGTGGAAGCGAGACCTTGTGCTGACCCAGAGGGGAGGATGTTTGATGTGATGAACGACCGTCGTGTTGAGTGTGCCGCCAAAAAGACCGAGGATCAACGCCCAGATCGTGTATGGGGTGTGGATGTCGTCGGAGATGGGATGGGGAAACCTAACCAAGGTGTTGTACAAATCTCAGGAAAAGGGCATTAAAGAAACCCAGCCATTGACAGACCAATTGGTCTCAAAACAAAACAATGACCCTAGGGAAGAAGTTGACTTGAGATCCTCCGGGGAAGCAGGAAGAGGGCGGCAGCGAGGGGCAAAGATATATAGCCAGACGTCCGACTCTGGCTGGCCCTGCCTGCCCATCCATGTGCGATGCGCGCCAAGGCATCGAGACGGTAGTAGTCTCGACCGGGTGTCCGAACAGGGCAATGGGGCGTGGAGCATGAGAGCTATGTCATGTACGCATATTGTGCAGATGGATGTGGAGGGATGGGATGGGATGGAGGGGAGGATGGATCAGTCCAACTGAGGGTTGACTGCGCGTACCTACTGTACCTACCTACCTTACCTACCTAACCTGCCCGCCTAACCAACACGCTCCAAAGCAGAGAAGTGGGAGTACAGCCGACAGCGTACATGGATGGCATTTCAGGGTACCGGCAGGGGGAGGGGTGGCTCTGGCGGTTGTATCGAGGAGGGGGTGTGCTGTCGATGTGGGCACCAGACCAGCCTGGGAGATGGAGACTAGCGTCAACTGACGGGGGCAAGGAGGCGTGCAGCCAGCAGGCATCTCGCGCACGCCAACCCCGGCAACGCTGGCTGGCTGCGCGCGCTGCGAGGTACTGGAGCGGTACCTACGCGTACTTGGGGGCTGGAGGGAGAGCGAGCCCACTCAGACATTTGTGCGCGCGCCGGGTCTGGAGAGCGACAGGAGGCTTGCTCGTAAGGAAACCCAGGCTGGTGTACATAGTAGACAAAGTCTTCGACTTGCTTCGAGATCGCCTTGAGCTCTTCTCGCCCTGGATCATCCTCGCCCCGGACCATCCTCACCCCGATGCGGAGCGGGCTCATGGAACTGCAAACGCATACCTGGCAACAAAGAGAGCCGTTGTCCAACGTGCGGGCCGCAAGAGCACAACCCATGGCGCGACCAAGGCGCCGCTGGATCCTGTCTTTGCTCCCCCAGCTCGCTGTAAGCGCGCGAGGCCGGCCCTGTGAATCTGGAAAGGCATCTACTAGCCATGATTAGCTCCAGGGCCTAATGCCGACGGGGTAGTGGTTAGTCCACTAATGATACTGGTCGCCTGCACGCTTGACGAATTGCCCCCCTCTGACCCCTCCGCCCCTCACATTGGCGGCGACTGGGGATAGGCGAATCAACAACACAAACGATCTGGTGGGGAAATCGACGGGCCAAGATGAGGAGGGATTGCGGCGTTTTGCTGCTGCCAGAAAACTCGCCATGGCCGAGGCGCACGCCCGATGACCTCGTGATAAATGTCTTAGGGTCGCAGTCTAGACATTTGCGTTTGCGTTGCTCGTCTCTCTCTGGTGAGCATATCAACAAGGCTTAAGAGACAATCGTGGGGGGAGATGAACACAGTCGCTTTCTATCTTGTCAACGCAATGGCGCGTCTGGCGGGAAACTGTAATGGTAGCAAATGAATCATTCTCGAGGACCTGAACCAAGCACACATGTGGGTATCATGGGCTTGCAGCAACATCCCACAGCGGGAGGGTAATAAAAGGGGGGAGGGGTGGGTGAAGATGACATGACCTTGGACAAGAAGGACGGCTGGCGCTGAATGATGCGAGAATATCCATGCTTGATGTGTGTGAGGTCCATATCGGATCTGGCATGGAATTACGGCAGGCTGCAGAGACAGTGCTGAAAGACCATCGTGGTTGGAGCCGCCGCCGGAAGGGCCTAGAAGCGGGGAGGGATCATGAACAAGCCTTTTGATCCAATGCTGGTGCTGCAATGCAAGTCTCTGCTCGTGTTGTCCGAGTTGTGTGGACAATCATGTCTCTGTACTGTGTTTTTCCCTCGGATACTTGGTTGGTGGCCTGGTGGCATGTGGCATCAGAGACAAGTGAACCATCCTTGGAAGTGCTTCCCCTCTTGTCTGAGGAGGAGAAGAATTGATATCTGACAGAAGAATGTCTGAAGTGAACCGTGGTACTAGGCATGTAGAGACACGCCCAATGCTGCTGCTGCTGCTGCTGCTGGGGGGAGGGGGCCTTGGGGGCACGAAGGCCTCTCATCGCGGGAGTTGCCAAACGGAGCCAAAGCTCCCCTGTAACGGCAGGACAAGAGACGACGGCACCAGCGCTAGAGAGATACGTACCAACAAGGACTGATTTGCTGTTCCGTGAGGGGAAGCATCGACATGGGGCAGGGAAGCCGTGGCCATCGCATTTAACACTGTCGCGATTGGGTTAAAGGCGCGATGCGACTTGTCCAGTTCTGGAGGTTGCTGTCCAGTCTTGTGCTTTCCTTGGCTTGTCCGCCATCTGCCCTGCGCGGTAGATCACGGCCCGGCGCCAGCGGAAATCACCCATCGCCTGGTTGTCCCTTTCAGTTCTTTTGTTTCTTGGTGACACTGGAGCCAGGCGGTCCCATTTGCAAACCCGCCGCCTCGAGGGAGGCGAGATGAAGTACAAGTAAGCGCCGTCTCCATTTTGCCGCTTCGTGAATGATGACAATACGGGGTCACTTGCGTCCGTTGCCAAACGTATCCAGGCGAAAAGCCTCATCGCCGTGGAGCCCGTTGACAGGGTTCCACAGTCTGTTGGTCGCAAGCGAAAGTCTCCTATGGTGGGGGAGCACAAAACAGGCCCGCCCTTGGGCGTTATCCAGGCCACTCCACAGAGGCTGGCCAACGAAGTCTAGTCAAAGTCGCATCACACACAGAGACGAACGGACGGCCTGCATGAGATGCTGTTGCGCGTCTCTGCCCTTGTCGGCCGTTCGGCAAGCCATCGCGAGGCGGGAAAAATGACCTTGCACAAGGACCGGCCGTCGAGCCGCAGCTGATGCGGACTCGGAGGATGGCTCAAGCTTACAGGGGCTGAGGCGCATGACGCCGTCGAACAGCCCGCTGAAAGCAGGTGAGAGATGCGATGGCGGCTCGGTGGACGTGTATCTTTCATGGCGTGATCTTGAAGATCGAGTCAATGCTGGATGCATGGAGAGTAGAAACAAGACTTTGGCGTTTTGGTTTCTTTGATGTCATGGCATACTGTTGAGAAGAGAGCTGAGGGCTGGATATGCCAGTCATTCTTGCCAATCCCTCCACTGGCTGCGGATGTGGCAGATGGGGATGAGCGTGAGGCAGTTGCAACAGAGAAGGATTGCAGGTGAAGAAGGTGAGACGGGATAGTACACCTAAGGTGAGGATGGGATGTCCCTGCCTTGTCGTCAATCACCAAGGTAGGAACCTACTTACTTGTACCTAACCAACCTACCCTGGCTTGCCTGGAAACAGCTAAAGGTCAGCCAGCGGAGGGGCGAGTCTAGTCCTGGGCTCCTAGGTAGGCAGGTACGTCTTGACGACCTGGTTCACAGCAGGACCAGCCCTGCTCCGGTATATTCTCGGTCATGGCGCATTATTCCTCTGCCGTCCACATCTGTTGTCTTGTCATATGCTTCTCTGCTCGCTTCCACCGGTTTTGTTAAGTCTGGATGTGCTGGGTTTTCCGACCGGAAAGGCACGGGCTTGCGGGTGATGCCATGCTTCCGAGATGCTGGCACGGACGACTGCGACAATTGTTGGAGCTTGTCGAGATTTCTTTCCCTTTTTCAACTTGCGATCAACTGTGGCAAGTTGGCAAACCTTTCCCACGATGCTACTCTACACAAGCTGCAGTATGGCCTTTGATGCACATTCAGAGCAGTACTTTCAAGCCAACAATCCTGCCTTTGCTGATTGCTTGACGCAGCAACGAATGTGCGCTGTTTGATGGGCTGCTTCGATAGGCACCCTAGACAAACCTGGGCACCTACTACAACCAGCATTCTGAACCGTGTGTACTTCTGTTGGTTTCACCTTTCCAACTCTGTTCTGCGAATGCGAAGAGCGGCCTACCGAGCTTCCCCTCTAGGCATTTCAGTCTTCCTGTGGATGGAGTCATAAACCATGGCGTGATGCAGCTCGCTCCTTCGGGCGCCCCGCGTGCTGCGAGGGAAGGAGAGGCGAAAGAGGGCAGAGACGAGCTCCAGGGAACCCTAGCGACGCCGCAATACCCCACCAAACAAGGCGAGGAGGGTCCAGGTCTTGTCCTTGGTTGCGAACGAACCACGATGTTCCCTCCGCCTATTCCATGTCTGCAGCGGCGCCGACGCCGCCCATGGTGATCCGCAGACGATTGTGCGAATCCTCCTATTAGCGGCCGACAATTGCTGGCAATGGTCCGCTATCAGAAGGCTGAAAGCCACACATCAAGACACAGTTCCCGTATCCCTCACATGTTTGCGCTGCCGGCTTGACTACCTGGCTGGCTGTGTTACGGGCTGCTTTTTCAAGAATGAGTTGCTGCGGCCAAGGACAACCCCGATAGGTGCTTCACTCTACGCGGCTCGACTCACCACCGATTGCGGTTGAACACCAACGCGGCCCCCGGAAAGTACCGCCGTGACATTGGACGTGGAGGGCATGGAGTTTGAACGAGTTTGCTGCGCCTGCAGCGTCCTGTCGCTCCTTGCTTCCAGCAACAATCAGGGTCGATACCTTTTGACTGTTCGTTCGGCTCAGGGTGGATCCCTTTGGGCGAGTCATCTCGGCGACGATGAGAGCCTTCACTCGTCCGAAATCCGTGGTGATGGGGGCCGCCGCAGTTGCCGACTTGAGGCTTCCAGACACGGCACAAGCGGCTTCGCAACATGCAAGGCAACAAGGAGAGATACTGCTCATGGCTTCTTCTGGTCGACGATCTCCCTCTCTCACTATTTCAATGGACGGATTAAATCCCCTCGCTCGGACCAGGCCATACGTGGTACATGGTAGCCTCAACTGGAGGTCTCCCGCCACGCCCCTCATTCACATCGGAGCTTTTGATGGGGCTCCTATGGAGAATGGCCCCAGACTGATGCACTGTCGCGCAAATCGCGATGCGGCAAGCCAGGGCCCCAAGATGCCCGCCAGATTGTCAGGCAGGAAGCAACCACCAACGGTGTTTTGGCCCGCAGGTGACCTTAGATGGACTCCTTTTGGGGCATCTCGTTCGTTTCCGTTGCCGCTCGGGCATGACCAAATATTAGCCCCATATCGGAGCAGTTCAACC